CCCGCCCCCCTGCAGTACTTTTATTGCCTTGGTTTCCTTTCTTTTCAGTCACAAGGATACTTATTTCCTTACTCCTCCAGAACTAAAGCCCAGAGGAGCTGTGACATTTGACATCTATGAGCTGAATTTCTTGTAACGAAGTTCTGCACTGAAATCACGAGGGCCCCCATAAATACAGGTACACAGATTGAAGTGATTATTGATTTTCCACATGAGGTAAAGCCTAAAGCACAGACCAGAGAATGGCTACCTGGCTGGGTTTGGGTTTTTCCAAGACAGCCAACAGAGTGGAGTGATGTGATTGACAGTGCTGCCTAAATTTATGTCAATTAAAAGGAGTAGGTGAAGTGACAACTGGTTCTTGGAAAACCGCCATGTACTCAAGTATTACACACGGAGCAATAACAATAGATGGTGCTGTCCTATGCAGAGTGTTGTTTTGCATTCTCCGCCATCTATAACAGTAAGTTTTCTTAGTAATAGAGTCCACTTCTGTATACTATGGAAGGAGAAATCTCAAATCTCTGAACATTAAGTATCTTTTCTACAAGGCCTTGGTGGTTTGGAGGTATTTAAGTCATGTTAGGATTAAAAAAAAAGTACCACATAAAGCTGAAAGGTGGGAAATCCCACTATGAAACTGCACTAAGCAAGAGATTGTGACTTTATCTTCATTGGTGATCTAGTCCTGAGCTGTTGGACCTGAAATTCGTTGATGTTTCAACTCCTCCAGTGTTTCCCAGTGACCAAGGAGCAGCATTTTGGACTTCTCCCTCTCCCCAATTTGAAGGTAGGCATGTGGATAGGTATGGTCTGATAGGGAGCCCATGAGCTCGTTCCCAAACTGCCCAGCCCAGAAACCTGCCCTGGTTCACTGAAGGGTGCCCAGGAGAGGCTGGTAGGGCTGGACATGGTTAGGGCAGCCCTGACAGTGGCAGGCACCCAGAAAGGATGAGCTGAGGGGGATGTTGGTGGACAGAGATCCTCTGTCACTGCAAATTTCCTCAGGAAAAAAGTGATTTCATTGAGCCCTCATTTTTTTTCCTCTGATTTGATGTCTCTGGTGCTGGGTGGCCATGCCAGCACTGCCAGCACCACACTGAGGGCCCAGGAAGCCCATGGTGGCTCGCATGGGGCTGGAGCAGGGATGTGGTGGCCAAGGACCCCCAACTCAGAGCCTTGAGCCAGGAATGCTCCATCCCTCGAGGCAGCCAGCAATGGTTTTGCCTGATTTTTTTTTTTTGGAACAAAGTGAAACATTCTCACAATCCCCACCCTTTCCACAAACACAGCCCTGCAGGGTGGACATGCTCGTCTGAGTCTGACCAGACTGCCAAGAACATCCCTCTGTTCATGAGTCAGTCACCAAAACTGGGCTCCCAAAACCCTACAGAGGGAAAGTCTGAGGCATCCTATAGTTTTCACCCACTTCAGTTGGGAGGGATTAACTTCAGAGCTGCTGAATACTCAAGACACTTGATTTTTGGTGACTGACTGAGATTAAGAGCCAGAAATCAGTGCTGAGATCTCAGTCATGCAGCTGGCTTAATCAATGTTCACCGCTAATTGAACATCACAGGAGGAATGGTTTGCTCTTGTTATTGCCAGGTAGCACTCCCAGAAAACACACAAATCAATCCATGTGACTCCCTCAGAGCTAGGACACAACTCTGGTCCTCTGCTGCGCTGTGCTTCCTAGAGTCCTCCAGGCTTAAATTCCTCTTCTGGGTCACCAAAGGTCTTGTAAAAATTAATCTACATTTGTATATCCCTGCCTCCATGGGTCAGCAGGACATCTGACCAAAAACCTTAAACAGGGAAGGTGCCAGTAAGTGTACAGCTGGAACGTACTCCATGTGAAGGTGTATGCAACATTGGCAAACCAAATTTCTGCCGATAATGTTACTTTAATAATCCACAGTTTTACAGCAACATACGTTCAAAATTATCTTTTCCAGGAAACTGCACAAGACTTAGGAAGTTTAACCAGAATGTTAAAAGAGCTCTTCGGAAAAATACAACATAATAATGTTTTGCCAACTCTTTGAATGTATTTATTCATGTTTGGATTTGTGTAAGGAAGTTTCCATGCTATAAATTTTTATTAAAAACATGTCATTAGAAATAAATAGTACATTTATAGTCATAAACAAACCAGTAGTTTTTACACACACTAATGTTGGGTTTCCTCTTACAAAACTGGAAGTGTATTCCACCATCTAATTTTTTTGTTTATACCTGATATAAAAGGATAAAGTTGCTGCATGAAGTTTATACTTATTATGGTTTTCGTATGTCCTCAGACTAGATACACAAAGAGTTTGTGTCTGTTTTCCTGATAATACTTATATGGGAAACATAGCCTTCTGTTCTTGCTATTGATTTTCAGTATGGTAAATGAGCTTAAATACTGCAGAAAAGATATAATGATAATAACAAAGATTAATATATTGGTTGGTTTTTCCTGCTTGCTCATGAGAATGACAGATTTGTATGAAAAAAGAAATATGCTTGTACTGTAGAAAGGCTTGATAATACCAGCTGGTTAAAGGAAAAATACATTTTTTTAGTTCACCAGAACCATATTTTCATTAGCTATGTGCAAATGTGTGGCCTGGTTTCTCAGATACTAGGAAAGCAGAATTCCTCAATGCTGTTCTCCTTCCTGTTTTCTGTTTCCTGCAGATCAAGTTGATGATACTCAAATGTCACACGGTTGATGTGTTTGCCGCTGGAGACCATTCGCAGCACGGTATTGTCACAGCCAATCTTCATTTGGGCTAGTTAGGGAAAAGAGATATAGAGGAGAGATAAAGGCACACTTATATGGGAGTGAGGGAAAAGTGTTGGGAATTACAAAGCACTGATGTATTCGATTTTGGAAACAAAGCAAGTTTGTGTGTAGTGATGGCCAGCCAGTGGTGGTATTGCTGACTAAATACCTTCTTTTGTATTTCTTAGTTTCACTTTACAATGGCTTGGGTATTTAATCAAGTGTTGTAACCTTTACTCATGCAAATGCCACTCAATTCCCCTCCACCCGCAGTCTCACATATATATAGACAGACATGACACAGAGGTCTGTACATGTTTGCATTTGGGAAGGTATTGTTAGATACCACAAACAGTGGGTAAAGGTAATGGCACCCTGTCCTGGAGATATCAAAAATTAACAATATTGAAATGTTTCCTGTTAGAGGGATGAGTGGTTTTGTGTGCAAGGATGTTCTTCACAGTAACAAAGGCCTGTGAGAGTCCCACCAAGACAAACTCAAATGGCAGTGCCCAGCATATGGACTCACTCTGGGGGAAATCAAGCGTATCACTAACCACTGCTTTAGATGAGCCAATTTGGGTGGGGGCTTGGCAAAGCCTGTTTGATTTGGGGAACCTGGAGCACCTTCCTCACTAGAGGAGAATTCTGGTAGGCCATTGGGAGAGTAGGGGCTGCCGAGATGGAATTTTGCTTCCTTTACACCGCCAGGAAAACACATTTTAATCTCACTGCAGTGCAGAGTATTCACTCAGCCCAGCACTTGCCAGTTAAACCTTTAAACAGTGCCTGGGCCATTAAGTTGTGGTGTGATGAAAGGCAAGGGAGACCACAGAGGCGAAGTGCCAGGCATGTTTCTGCTCTCCAACCCTGCGGAAACACTGCTTCTCCAGTGCACTTGTTCATACTCCTGAGGTACAACACATGTGCCACAGGGACCTGTCTGTCACACCACTGCAACACTTTGTACTCTGCTGTACTGAATATTAGGGAAACAGGCAATTCTTATTTTTATGGGCAGAAAGAGGTCACCGACCTGGCATGATAGTCAAACAGGTTCAGAGCTCCTCCAGGGTTCAAAGCAGAGCGTGGGAGCTCTGAGGCTTTTGGAGTATGTGTTACTCCTGCAGCAGAAAAGGAAGCTTTGGAAACACTGAGTAAGTGAGAAAAAACTCCTGAACTGAAAATGTACCGCTCTGTCTTCATTTGTTATGAATTTCCAGGCTCATTTATCTGTTGACACTCTAATAATCATGTGTCATAGGACAAACATTTAAAAAATATGTATAACTTAACCTTATTATAATGATTACTGCAGGGGCAAGTGAAGGTGGTCATGGGTGTGCTGTATCACACAGCCCAGCCCCAGGCTCAAATAGCTTTAGCTCTCATGTTCTGCTACATGTGAAGTTCACCAGTTTAGCAGAAAATCCAGGTTTGGGGGCGGCTCTGCATGACTCCCTCTGGTTAATTATTTTATTACATAGAGGTAAGTGGAAGAAGGAGTTCTTACCAGACCCATGAAAGGAGTGACAGAGATCAGCTAGAGGAAACATCTTGGATGGGTCTAAGCCAGTTCCTCCTAGCAGCTCTACAAAATCTCCTACTCCTGCACAGCCTGCTGATGGTTTCTAAAAAGGCAGAGATTGAAAGTTGTTTATCATTTATCTTGAAAAAGTAGCGGTTCCCTAGACATGATTGCAGCCAACACTAGGTTTTAGAAGTCCTCTGTGCTCAAACCTGTGTGAAATAAGGCTGTTCTCATCCTGAGCAACACTACTTCAATTTGACATTAGTCAGTTAATTTCCTTAAGGGATTCCAAAGAAAGACCTAAGTAGGCTCTGAAAATTACCGACAAATAGTTAAGGTGTTGATTCAACTACTCTTAGTGCAGATAAGCAATCTGATTCTAGATGCTTAGACATGTAATCAAATTAACACAGGGATGGGCTGCACGTGTGCCCACACTCAGCTGGCAGGCAGGACCTCAAGTTCCACTATACCATGCTTATTCCTAAGCAATAAATATTGCTAAAATACACTATTCTGGCAAAGTTTAATTAAAGTAAGAATTAACTGAAAGAGTAATTTTTTATGACGACGATGGCTCACTATACATTAGACCCACAAGTGTTCTTTTCCTGAAAATTAATGCTGTTTGCCAAAAACATCTTGCATGGACACCCTATGCACCTTCAGGCTGTCACCCATCTGCTGCTATTTAAGTGCCTGATTTCTTTATCGTCCCCCTGCTGTTGTCCCTTTTCTGCCTGCTGCTGAATAAGTCAACTCACTTGCCCATCTCTCAAAGCCTGGTTTGCTCAGAAGCCCCCATGAAGGACCTAGGCTGCCAGTCTCACTGGCAGCAGGAAACAAGCTTTCTTGCTCCTGTCCTTCTGGATATTTTGGAATTCGCACTTTCTTAGACCTCCTAGGCACAGAGTGCCACTAATAACCCTTGTCCTCTTCTGTCTGATTGTCACCAAGCACCAAATGCTGTGGCCAGACCCCAGCCCTGGGCTGTGACTCAGAGCAAACAGAGCAGAAGGATGCTCAGCATGCCGAGCAGGGAATCAGTTGTAAGCACGTTTGTATTTTCTCCATGCTAATAACTCACTATTTAACCCGCGTCTCCTTTCTCTGTTCAGAGTGGTTGCTGCTTTCATTAGTTTAAATACAGACAGACAGCTCTCTGGGAGAGCACTGCTTTCTTTCTAATGACATTATTACCCTTTGTTATGGCAAACAATATTTACATGCATTAATGGTAGTTTGCATAATTTGATTGCCTCTGCAACATTACAGAGACAATAGGGACAGAGACAGACCCAGCTCTTGTCTCTGGGGGGAAACCAGAGCCCTCACCGTGTGCGCATGTGGTCTGGAGCGCACATGCCTTATTAGCCAGTGCCACAGGCTGTCCCCGCTTCACCCTCTTCCCTCTCCCTTGCCCAGAAAAACTGCACATAGTAGTAATTTCTTAGGAAACAAATAACTCACCTTTAAAAAGAGGCCATTTAAATGTCCCAGGATAAGATCAGATATTTTTATCACCACTGGGTAGATTATGGAGAAGCTGCAGTTTCTGTGCTGATGAGGAATGACCATGGTGAACCTTCCTGAAGGAGTCTGAGAGATGACATTGCAAGCTGGGGCATGGGAGAAGGTAGAGAGTTACTTCTGCAGTCATAACTGCATGTAGCAAAACGATGTACTTTCAGTACTAACAAAGAACAGATGATTTAATTACTGAAAGTTACAACCAAATGCTGAAAAATATGCATATGGCATTTTCTGGTGTTCTTGCATAGCATTTGTTCCCTAAAAATTCTCTGCCCATTGCTTACTGTGTAGCATGAGGTCTGGCAGAACTTGAGGGTGAAGCAGTCAATGGGAGACCTCGCACCCCAAATCCACACATTAGGAGCTCCTGTTGTCGGGGGCTCATACTATTTGCCAGTTTGAACAAGGCTAAATATGGATGCAAGGCTTTTGTTTAGCTTTGACTGGTTATGGCTTGATATTGCCAGCAAATCCCTAAGTCCTATTCTGCTCCTCTTAACTGGAGTTCCTTACCCTGCAAATCCTTACCCTTACCATCCCAATGAAACTAGAGCAGGTACATGCTGATTTTATCTTTAAGTTCAAACTTAACAGTGCAGGTAAGGGAATAGCTTATCATCTGCGTGTGCAACCCAAGGGATCCTCCATGCAGACCTGGAGGCCTGCAGCTGCTTCAGTAGGCCGGTGAAGGACACAAGCCACCTCCAGCAGTTGCACGCTATTATCACATCCACAGGCATGAAGCCACACCAGTGTGGAGACCCAGCTTGCAGGCTTGTGTCTGAACAACTCAGAGTAAGGACAGGGCAGACATGCCATCATCTTCATCCTTTGCATGGTGAGGCAGATAAATCAGACTGGCCTGAACAATAACTGTTAAATGTCCTGTCCCCTCTTGGAAAAAAAGGGCAAGTGACCATTATTTGTGCCTTCCCAGCTCACAGGCTTAGGGAAATAACTTGCAAATAGATCCTTGGGTCATGTATCACCCATAACTATCACATAACTATTTAATACACTGGTTTTGCTGTTGAACTTTTTCAAATATTTTTGCCTCATTGTTCACCCAGATCTAGAAATTGCCGAGATTAAACTCTCTAAATTAATACTATTTGTTCTAGCCAAATGTGTTGGAACATGACAATACAAGATTGGAAGAGATCGTCTTTGAAAGAAAGAGCCTTCTGGTCCTGAATATTGAAGTCATGCCTAAGTTATCTCCTACATTTCACTTAGTGTTTTTTTCTTGAGACACACACTGAGCCTGAGTCAAATCCTCAGGTGTGCAGATGTGTGTGGCTCCGGTGGTGTTACTGGAGCCATGTCAGTGCAGATAACACCAGCAAGAGAATTCAATGCAAACCAACATGTTCATTTTTCTTCTGGCCCCAAATGCAAGCCCATTTGATGGTATAAAAGGGGGACTTACGAAAGAGGTTGGCGTTTTTCTTGACCGTGACAGTGAATCCATTGCCTGGCTGGTGAATCCTGAAGAAGATCATTGCCACATTCTGTGATGACCTGATGCTCCTCTGAATATTGCCACTTTCACAAAAGTCTATGTATCTTTGGGAGGTGGGGAGGGGATGGTCCAAGGAACTGGGAAATTTCTCTCCTTTGAGTATCCAGCCATCAAATACCTACAGGGGTTCAATAATTGAAAACCAGGCTTTTGGTCATTGCTCTGTTAGCAGAGAACAGAAACGTGAAGCATTACAGACGCTGTTTCATTTTGACACTGGATGACTTGTTCAAAGCCACCAATTAAAAACAAAAATTCTTTGTATTTATCGATTTCCTAGCATTTAACTAATTATTCAAGCTTCAATCCATATTTAGGGAAGGGATACATTTAAATTTTAAAGTTGTCTTTACTTCATTCAGGTGACAATTTTGGTAACCTTTTTTTGAGGGAAGCAGCTCTTTTTGCTCCAGCAACATCACATTTAGATATTTTTTTTTTTTTTTTAAGTTCTTACTATTCCAATTTCGTTGTTACCAAGAGAAGTTTTTGACTGGCTTGATTTGGAAGCCACATGAAACATAAGTCACCCTCTCAAACTCTGGGCATTAAGTCCATTGATCTGGCCTGTAATTTTCCACCATCCATGTTTTGCAGCTTGTCATTAATGGGCCTGGGGGCCTTCCAGAGGTATTGAAATACAATAAAGCTTTGGGGAGGAATTATTGGCAGAGCTATTGCTCTCTCCTGTGTCTGTTCTTTTAGCTCGTCCTAGGCACTGGAAAGCAGAACAAATGCTACTTACTTGGCCGGACCTTAAACAGGAGCCTCTACAAATCTTTCCCTCACAACAAAAATAGCAAGTTTGCCCTCGCCGTCTTCAAGGAAAGGTATCAGAACTAGAAATCTGTATTAATGCTAGCATAGCTGCACAGTTGCATGCCTTGCTGTTTCAATTCCCTCCTAGCCACTCTCACCAGGTAATTCCTTCTCTGGAGCAGTCAATACTTCGAAAATCCGAGGACCAGATCCTGCCATTGCTTCAGTGAGTAATCCTAATGTGAGTATGTGTGGGACTTCCTCATGGAAAAGCTGCAGGATCAGTCTCTGGATTTGCCAGAACTGTAAATTTTCTAAAGTAATGAGACATGGGTGTTCAAATTACACCAGGGAAAAGCTGCCTGTATAAATATGATAGTACAATGCAGAAACTGGGTACCCCATGATCAAAGGAAGGAAACCTCTATAAAGCCTCAAAGATCTCTTGGCATTTTTCTATCCTCCATAAATGGCTGTAAGTTTAGGTACAAAATCCTTGGACCCACAAGAAATTGAAATCAGTCTCCCTGTAGCAATGTGGGGAGAGATCCCAGCCAGGGGTATGGGATGGAGGGACAGGATTCCCCAGGGTAAAGTGACCAGGGGGACAGCATCTCTCCAAGAGCGGGAGACAAGGAAAGGGCTGAAAGGCAGCTTCTCCTCCTCCTCCTCCCTGGAGCTCAGCTCGCCACCAGGTGGGACGGGGTCTGTGCTGTGCACGGCCACTGCAGCACAAAGGGTAGAGCACAAAGTGAGGGGAGCAGCTGGGAGCCGTTGACCCTCCCTTTCTCTCCTGAATCGAGTTCAGATCTTGGTCAATGCTTCTGCCTGCCAGCAAAATGTGCTGGTAAAGGTTTTTGATGCTGGAATATAAATGACTCTGAGTCATGAACCTCTTTCTGTTCGGATCCAATGTCCTGAAAGTCTGTAGCGGGGCTATTTGAAAGAAAGGCTGCAACAATCCACTCATTAATAAGCTGATGCTAAGTGACCTGTGAGCAGAGGTCCTGGAGCAGTAACAGCTGTTCAGAGACCTGTATCAGCATCTGCAGGACTCATGTGATTCATGGTGCAATGAGAAAACCCTCCTAACGGGACTGAGGGTCTCTGCTCATACTGACCAAACTGCTCAGTCAGTCCCCCAGGTATGGACACTCAGTAGAGGTGCTCCTGAAAAAGTTCAGAAGAGCTGATGCTGCAGTTTGGAGAGGGATCCTCAGTCTGCATCTGACTTTGCTTTAGGGGGATGGTGATTAGGGGAAGGTACTCAAAGTGCCTCAGGGAGGAGGAACAGCTGTCCCAGAGACAGCTGCTTTGTGAAAGCCTGTTCTGCACACTCAAACACATACACACTTGTGCACACATGCATTTGCCTGCCCCTTCCACATGCAGCAAATGTCTCACATGTCAGATGACAGCAGGGAAGGGAAAGTGCAGCAGGACTTGCCAGCTTCTTACCTTCAGGAAATCACCCCCTTGGCAGTCGATGTTTACAAAGTCGTAGTCTATTGTGATGAGCTCCTCAGGCTCCCCAATGAAGAAGGTCGCGCAGTGCAGCTGCGGTTGCTCTGCAGTGAAGGTGAACTGCCCTTCTATACTCAGCATGTCGATGCACCCTGAAGAAACAGAGACATGGGGCTGCTGCCTCAGCCTGCTGGGGAGGGAGACACAGTGCCAGCTCCCGCAGCGCAGGGAAGGGGGTAGTGAGGAGAGACCCCCACGCTGAGACCCATCTGGCAATGAGGAGAGGGAAACCCAGCTGAAGCAATTAGGACCCTGCTGAGCATTGAAGGATGAACAGTAACTCGCAGGTGTGAGCGCAAGCATGCGATGGGGGGGTGCAGGGGGTGATGACATGTCAAAGCATCTCTGAGCAGAAAACTCTGTATGTGTACATGCACAAGCGCACAAACACCCCATTCCTTCAGATTTCTCTCTAATCACAGCTTTTCCACCTGCCCCATCCCCTGTAGATATGACTCTGCCCAGGGACATGGGTGGACAATCTCCATCCTCCTCCCATTATTGGGGACCCTCAACTCTGAGCTCCAACCTCTTTTCAGAGCCCTGTTTCCATTCCTCTGCCTCAACCACAGTTTTTCTGAGATTTTAACACTTTGTCCTTCTTCTCCCCACCCTTGCAAAAAGTGCTTGTAGTTCTGTCACTCCCAAATAGCCCCTTTCCCCTCCCTGAGCCCTGAGCTCCCCCCAGGACTCTCCCACCCACTGACAGTCCCCACCAGAGCACCAAAGAAACTCACGGAGCGACCGGCGGTAGATCTGCCCTGCAGACAGCTCTCTCTTCAGATCTTCGCTGAGGAGTAGGAAGGGCTCATCTTCACCAGCATCCCTCACCTGGTGAAGGAAAGAGGGCAAGAAGAGGCTGGGGCAAAGTGAAATGCAGCCCCCTCCCTGCACCTCTCAAGAACAGGCACTAGCAGATTAAATCCCTCCTCCAGAAACGGTGCAGCTGTGGAAGAGCTCAGTCAGAAAGCTTCCAACCTGTAGTAGAGAGGAGCAAACCTGGCACCTAAGAGGTGAGCCCTGCAGCTCAGTGCACAGCGAGTCTCTTAAACCCTCAGCAAAAATATAAGCGTGAGAAAAGGGAGGGTAAACAATTGGGGGGGGGGGGGGGGGGGGGGGGGCGTGGTGTTTTTAGAGGAAAAAGCACGATGCTCAAAAGCTGGGAGTACAAGTTAGAAGACAGCAGCTAAAAGCACAGCAAGGCGCTTTAGTTATCAGCCCTATTGCTCACCTCTAGATATCTGGTTTCCCCCTTGGAGGCTGCCAGGAAGATGAGAATGAAGTGGCATTGAAACTGGAAAGCAGACGGCATGCTGACACCTCCTCTGGCGGCCCTCCCTCTCTCCCCGTGGCCAAGTTTCTCCCAGTCTGCGCTGGCAGGCAGGAGCCGGTGGGGTATCTTGGAGAGACTCTTTTTATAGAGCTGTTGGGAGGGGAGGCACTTGGTCCCCGTACTGATAGGGTAACCCATGGTAACTGAATTCCTCTCGCAGTGACACAGTACGTGGGCATGACGAGGGTCCAAATCACAGCCACAAATTTCCAAGCCAGTCGAACTCCCCTTGCTGGCAGATGTCTTTTCTACTTATCTGTCTGGTGGAGCTGAAAAGCTCTGGGGAGGAGAGCCTGTTCCCATGCAGCTGGGACACTCTCGTGGTGTGTTTACTTCCAGTTACTCCAAAGTGAGGAACGAGGAACATCCCTCCCTCCTCCTCTTCTCCTGCTTTCCAGTCTTGGGGCATTTCAGACCTGCAGGGCTCCCTGCCTCCCTCCTGCTGCTCCATGCCATGCAGCTCTCCGCAGCCCCTGTGCCAGGTGCTTCCCACCAGCTAGTCCTGGGTGGGTGCCCCTGCATCCCGGCCAGGCTTGCAGCCTGGGGCCAGCATCCCCCCAGGGCTGGGGGACCCGCTGGCTTCCAGGTCCGGCACCTGCAGCTGGGGCACAAGGACTTTGCAGCAAGTGCACAGGCAAAATCAGACAGGTGTCCCCACCAGATGCGGCTTTCCTACAGGAATTAGGAAAACTTGGGGCTTCCAAGGGCATATTCCCCACGAAACAGCTGATACTGCTCCAGCCCTGATTTTCCCCTGACCCAGGATGAACCATCAATACTCAGCAGACAAGAACTACCCTTTCCCCATCTCAGGCTTCTTGCTAATGTCTCCTTCTTCTCTATGCTTCCCTGTCAAATTGTCACTTTGGTTCAGCAAAACTTAGAAATAATATGATCTGGACTTGCAAAGCTTTAAGTCTGCTGCTTCTGATTTCATTGTGAGTGCTTGTGGACAGAAATATTTTCTTGCTGTTTCACCCAACTTGTGGGTCGAACAACAAATAAATAAATCTTATTCTGTCTATACACCTGTGGCTCTGACCTTATTATACTGTAATTCTTATTCTTATAGTTTACTTTAATGTAAACTATAATATTGCTGCATATCTACATGGCACTTCTGTGAATTTGCTATATCTGTGTGGGTTTCAAGAGCATAAAACCACTCAGGAAATGGAAAATACTGTTTTTGAACTTTGACATCAAGTTGCATTCAAAAGTTGTTAAAACTGCTTTGGGGAACTGAGTAGTTAATTAATGCATGAACCAAGACTGAATTAATTAATCTTCATGTACTTGCCTTGAATTGTTTAAATACTGTGATTTTAGGCAAGAATTATCAGAAGCACCAAGGGAGTTTGGAACCTGAAATCCATTGAAGTTCTTTTGGGAATTACAAGTTTTGTTGGAAAACTGCAGGGTTTAGTCCCAGCTTGCATTAGAGAATGGCTGGGAGATTAATCAGAGTGGTGAGAGGTGCCCCGGAGACCACCGGGATACTGTGGGACCTGGAGGGGCTGCAGGAGAGCCCATCCTCATTCGCTTTTTATCTCACATGTTCACTTTCTGAAGAGATGAAGGAAGTCAGGATTACTGCATGACCTCTCCACTCCGCATCTTCGAGGCACTTTGCAGAACCCAGTCCCAGTTCTGGCTGGGGTGTCCTAGTTTGCTCTGCCGGCTCCCAACCTAGACCTCAGATGCTGAGTCCTTGCATATCTTCAGTAAAGGAGTGGAAGCATTTGATTGTGTGAGAATTTGACCAGTTACTGAAGGTTTGGTTAAATTCACCTCGAAAAATGAGTGAAGGACAAATGACACTGCAGCTAAATCAATATGACTGTCTATTAAACCAGCTGTGAGGTGATCTACTCAGAAAAAAACATACCCACGGTGATGTCAACATATTCTAAACTCTTGCCTATGAATAGCTGAGGTCTGGGCTAGCATAGCGTTCACTGGTGGAGATGCCCAGACAAGCAGATAGCCCCAGGGCCTGGAGGACATCCTGGCAGATGGGGTGTGGGGACTGTCCTTCTCCAACCAAGAAGGTGGTGGGAGGGAGGATAGGAGCCATGTCTATGTCTGTTGCAATTTCTTACTCACATGGGACCTGTGGCGGCTTTGCATTTCCTATGCAACACCTGCAGGAGTTTGCTTTGAAGGTTACAAATGTTCTGTATAACATTAGTGCAAGAGTTAAACTCATATGCCCCTTGCTGTGGATGTGGAGCTTGGTTTTAACAGAGGCACTAAGGCAACATGTCATCTACTCTGTGTCATCTTCCGCTGTGCATTTTGGCTCTGGGCTCAGAAGGAGCCGATTAAGCATGGTGACATCCTGCCCACCCTCATTGCAAAGCCTCCCAGTGCCTGGGGTAATTTCCTGTGCCCTCAAACACAGGCTGCCCTCAGCCCCCAAACTCTTATATACTTCCCTCTGTGCCGCTCTAATGCCTGTGGAAGGCAAGTATTTGGGATGGGGATAGGGAACCACATGCAGAGAGGTTCAGCTGCTGCTGCTGCTGGCAGACCTCTGCCCTGCAGTGCCTCCACACCTGACTCAGGTGGAGCCTGGGCAGATAGGGCCCCAAAGGGGACCAGTCTCAGGGGGCTCATCTCCCGGCCCTACATCCTGACTGTCAGAGGGTGAGAGAGGATGGGACCACCTCCTCACTCGACACTGCTGCCTCCTCACAGGGTATCACAGGTCCCCTTCCCCTCTGCATCTCCCTTTGCATGCTCCAGCACTGCTTTTATTTAAGGCCACTAGCAGAGACTGAGCTCTTCAGGAGATGAGATTGCGACTAACAAAACAAAGAAAAATCAGCAGTTTAAACAGCATTCAAAACATCCCTGCAGCATTTCAGAAGGGAAAAGCACCTTCAATGCGATACAAACCCTTGGGCGAATGAGAAGGGTGTAATTTTTCTTTGATGGGGTTGAGTCATGTTAATACTTTGTAGGACAATTTTTTTCCTTAACATCAAATTATATAACACAGTAAAATGCATTCCCAGTCTGACCCTGCTAGGGGCTCTATAATCCAGTTGCTCTCGGGCTATGATACCTTGACTCTGCTGGCAACCGTAACTCACCCTGGGAGCAGCCCCCTTCCCTGGCAGAAGCAATGGGATGCCACCATGCTGGTGAGAGGCTGGGCTGTGTACAGGGGATCACCCACCCCGCTCTGCTATGGCTCAGGGGGCTATTGCTGGGGCACCTCAGCCTTTGGAAAGCCTTAGGTTGTTAAAGCAGTGCTCATGAGTGGGTTTTTTATGCCATTCAGCTACATGTTTGGGAGGACCCGCCTGCCCCGTGGTGGAAATCCTCCGCCTCGCACTCAGAGCTTGTAGGTGTCTTGTCAGCTATTATAGCAGAGAAGAGATCCCAGCTGCGGTGAGAGGTGGAGAAAATACAGCTGAATAAAGAGAGTAGTGAAACAAACCTCGTTTACCCTCCCCCGTGGTGATCAAGCAATGCTCTGTGCTATAATACAGGTGGTAAATGCAGTTTCTACTCCTCATACATAAGGTAGTTGGTACAGGAAGATTGTGGATGATGCTCTTGATATTGAGATTTCTTAGTGAGCAGTGCTTGAGCTACAGACACTCCTTAGTGATCCCTCCCTGATGAGAAGAGGGGCGAGGTGTTACGAACCCTTTCTGCTCTCCAAAAGGGTCCCTTGAGTCCCCAGCTCACTAACACAGCACCCTGCCATGCTTTAATTCCTGCAGAAGACAACTTCATTTCAGCACTCGCTTCACCACAAACACACTGCAGGCTGTAGCCCCTATTCTCTCCACTCAACATGGAAATTTCACCTGCAGCACATCTCGCCTTGCACCCAGGTAAGGGGATGAACCTTGAGGACTGCTGACTCTGGAGAGCTCAAACCACAGCTCCTGGACTCCTACCAGCTATTTGTTGAAAGCCACAGTCTTCTGGTTTGGGCCATATTTTAAACCCACTGTTTCTTCCCCTCTGAAGCACCTTCCTCCTAAGCTGCAGCCCAACTGCTGGCACAAGCAGCTGGAGTAGACAAAACCTCCCTTGAGCCCTGGGACCTTAAACAAGAGTCAATTTTCCTGCATAGACACAATTCCATGCAGGCTTCAACTCCATGCCACAGGGAGCAGCCCGGCTGCTGCATGTCCCATGGGGGCCCCTCTGCTTGTCTGTGCCTGGTGGTTTCTTGAACTGATGGGAGCAGCAGCGAGCCCACAGTGCTACAACACCAACTGCTCCAGCAAAGGGGATTTCTCCTGCCTCAGGCACTCCATCCTCGGCTGTTGATGCTGACTTCTCACTGCTGCTCAGCACTGGCTGAAGAGATGCGGTGTGGGGTGATGCACAGTGTGAGACATCTGGCTGGACTTTAAACCTCTATCGTGTCAGCTGCTAAGCATTGTGCTGAGCTACATTCATTTCCCTTATGGGCATCCCCACGGCAACTCAGAATTAATTCAGGGACTAGCTTTTCCTTTTCTCCACGGTGTCTGGGAGACGTAGTACTACGCCCTCCTTGCTGTTTATCGTGTGGCTGCAGGTCTCACACCAATGTCGCTGTCTTTGCAGGGTAGGGGATTGCTGCACAACTCTTGTATTTTATTATACACGTATGCCATTTAACTGGTTGCAAATCCTTCAGTATATTATTCCTGAGCAGTGGGATCAGTTAGCCCGGATTAAGGTGAGAAAGAGATCTAGTGTCTCTGAAGTGTCACAAATGCTACAGTGAGGGCTAAATTTTTGATCCCGTCCTTGCTAAATTGCATGCTAGCAACCAATTATTGCTCTGAAATAACACCACAGAAAAGGAAGAAAAGGGGGAGGCTGTACCACAAATCGCAGCCGTGGAGGTCATTAGGAAACCATATCCTTGATACAGACTGACACAAGATTTTGCTTCAAAAACTATCTGAGAGATTGAGAAGCTAGAGCCACACATGTATGAAGCTTCTGCTTCTGGTCCAGTTCCCTCATCCCATAAGTCACCACAGAAAACACTGGGGTAACTAAATCCATACTCAGTACTTGCCAACTGTTA